CAGTATACATTTTCTTCCAAAATTGTTTGGCACATGTCATTTATTTGTAATCTTGAACATTCAGTGTAAGTTTCGTTTGATTCTGTGAGAATTTTTTTTTTTTTTTCACCAGTACCATACATGCCAACATTTGAAAATCAGAAATCTGTACAAATTATGCTTTTTTTTTAAAAAAAGAGGAACAATCTTAACTCTCCTATTCAATACTACAGACAAATTTGTACAGGAAGAGGAAAACCTGCATTAAAATGATAATTATCTTCTCCCAAAAAGAGGAATGTTCCTCTTTAATCTGAACAGTTGGCATGTATGCAGTACTGGAGTTTATCTTTAATAACGGAATGAGCGTCCGTTTAAGATACATTCTGTGCGTGCGAGCTCTTGTAATACATAGCATATATGGGCAAAAACATGCCTATACAAAATCCATTGTAGCTCTTTAGGGTGCAAGATGACCCCATTTTTTTTTCATATCTTGATAAAGTATGAGTCGGAAATATGATTTCATGTCTCATTTGACCCTCAACTAACTCATGACGTCATCATAATGGCCTACGAACTCAAAATTTCAATTTGCATATTATGACGTCAGCATATTTTTGGAAAATTGACCGTATCTCTGTAGATATTTATCAATTTCCTTCCAAATTTTGATATGATCTAGCTTATACAATTCTCTACAAATGCAGTTACCACAATATTTCATTTTGACAAAGGTATCATGGCGTATTTTTGCGATTAAAGGTGGCATGTCAATTTTTCACATTTTGCGTGTATTCTCTATGGGACATGACCTTTTCTCAAAACTGGATTCTACATCCTGTCTTTTGCGAGCAATATCTCCGTCGTTTTAGCTTTGTTTTCGCTGAGCTTTGAGTATGTTGTAGCTGAGACAATAAGCTATCACAAGTGTGCCCTTTATTTTTCGATCAGATGCCGGGATCATGCTCATATCTCACTTGCAAAGTGGGATTTGATAATTCCATTTTCCGTTTACGTGTAATCTCTATGGGAAATGTTTTGGTATATCGGTAACGCACTTGACTTCCGACCTCGAGGTCCCTGGTACGAGTCCGGGCGTCTCCAACAATTTTTTTTTTCTCCACTTTTTTTTCTTTTTGACCTTTCACTGTACCATCTCCTTTGAATATTAAAACACATAGAATCGCAAATAATGTAATTAACAACCATATTTATTTTATTATTACCCTATTATCACTTGATCTATTACTTTTTGCGTGTAATCCTTATGGGAGATGACTTTTTCTCAATCTGGATTCTACATTTTTGTCTTTTGTGAGCAATATCGCCGTTATTTAAGCTCGATTTTTGTCGATTTTTGAGTATGTTGTAGCTGAGACTATACGCTATCTAAATGTCCCCTCATTTTTTCAATCAGATGTCATCATGGTCTGTTGATGATCATCATCAACATCACCATGTTCATCATCATCGTCATCACCATTACTATCAAGATCATCATCATCATGATCATCATTGTTTACATGTCTATATAACTTCTACCTTTTTCAATATAGTACATATTATAATCTATCATAAGACTTGAAGACAGACCACCTTATTCGTCCTCGTGACAAATTAAATTCTAGTTTTTCTTTAACTCTGCTTATGACTGAGCTACTACCAGTATATGTTTGCCATCATTGGGAGATTATTTGTAGCCTTAAAAGCTCAGTGTAAGCTTGCTTTCAATGTGGGAAATCATATTTTTGTAATTTGTAGGTTTTGGTTAATATGTAATTGTTTATCTTTGTATTTTGTTTGTTATAGCACTTAGAGACTTTGGTGGTAAACGCTTTTTAAGTACCGTTTCGATTATTATTATTATTTTTTTTTTCTCATTGCCAGCATTAAATATTTGCTCCAAATCTAACATTTGTTTCATTTAACAGAGCAAATCAAAAGATAACCATTTCTTACAAAAGTAAAAATACTGTTTTGTAATGCAAAACTTTTGCTTTTATGAATTATTCTGCATGGCCAAATCACTAACAAAACATAAACATTGTTTTTTTTAGTCCCACGTATAATCTACACACAAATAAAACCTTCCTCTTTTTTGACATAAAGACAAGCAAATATTTGTACAAATGTTGATACTGTGTAATATTCTAGAAAGAATCACTGAGCGATTTCCCACAGAATCCTTGCTTCCAAATCAATAAGATAAACAATGGAGGACAGGGGATGGTGTGCTATATTGATTTTTCTTTCCTCTACATTTATTTGTTTACCTTGCAATGCAATCTAGAGCAGTATATAACAAGAGTGGATTTCTTTTTACGGGACAGCAAGAGACAGCTCAATGGCTATGCGTTGTGATGTTTTGTGAGTCTATATCATACAGTAACGTATCAGACAATCTATGAAATACACCAGTATTTAAATTGAAAAATCTAAACAAATGTCTGCTAATGTGACTACACATTTCTTTGTGTTGATCAACAAAGCTTTTGTTAGCCTGCATTTACGAACTGCACTTTGATTTTTTTCTCTAATCACCAGAACTCATCTAAAATACTGACAGTAAAATTACTGTCATTAACAAAATGTTTTCTCAAAAGAAATGAAATGAGTGCATATTCATGTATTTGATTATGGATGCAAGTACGGTGCATCTAAAAATTCATATAAATATGACAAAGAAAGAGCAAATGTGCCATCAACTTCTAATACCTCTCATTAAAAAGTTATCTATGTCTATTTGAAAAACACAAAGGTCTTTTTGAACAATTATAAAAAAAAGATTGCACATAAAAAAACCCATTTGAATTCTCTTTAAAAAAAGACATTGTAGTAGGGAGCTCTTTTTCTTGGTTAAATTTATATCTCCCTATCAATACTTCCAGATTGCCTTTCTGTTGTATCATTTTCAATGTTTAATGGTACTTTTATAAATCTGTAACTGCTAACCTGTCCCTTTACTACAAGGGATATCCCCTTCTTGTAGGAGTATGGAGAAAAGATTTTTCTAGCTCAGTGCTCTCTTGAGAAGGTCTCAGCTGATCAATCGTGTTCATCAACTTAATCAAATCACAAATCAAATCAGGCTTATATGAATATACAAAGAGGTCTACCACAAGATTTGGTTTACATTTGTGTGCAAACCAAAGTCTTACATTATTTTGAAATTTGAATGCTATAAAACATAAAGCATATGACTGTGGAGGTTTTTGTTCAATATTATGTTGTGTGTGAACTAACCCTATGCTTTTCACAACCACTTCATTTTACATTGGATCATACACAACAACTAAGCCTGTAGGATGTACATTTGTACTTTTCAGAGTTGGGAAACATTATTCAATGACATTAAATAATTTAATATACCATACATGGATAACACATGCATATTTAAAAACTTTCTGTGCTGTGGGAATAAATGTATTGCCCCAAGATTTGTACCACCAGAAATGACGCCAGAAGCGAGAAGTTTAGCGTATTAAACTACATATAGGGTGTGACTCTCCTACTAACAGGACCTCCAGCTAACATTCTAGACCAGAATAGAGGGGAGGGGCGCGCTTACACACAATGGGGCAAAAAAAATTCTTATTAAATCTTTGTCTGCTCAGGGTAGGACTTGAACTCATGTGCAAAACGAAAGTCATGAGAGCGAGACGACGATCCAATTGCGCCTCACCGCCTTCGTTATAAAAATCAGTTCACAACCTTGGCTCAAATTGTAATGTTTAGTCGAATGTACTCATATTTGCATCCAGTGCTTTTTATTGTTTTCAGTACTATTTAGTCAACTTATAAAGTTTATGAAGATGAATATAATGATTCTAAAACCTCATTGTACTCAATTCATACATAATCAGCTATCCTGAATAACTTAAAGACCATTAATACTACTGGGCCAGAAGGGATTAGACCACACAGGAAGGTCACTGACAGGTGGCTGTCTCATTAACTCAGCTTTCAACTAACATGAGAAAAAGAGGATCATGGGGGACCAACAGGCACTGATTGGGGAAGTTTTCTATATAGAGGGAGCAAGTAGCTACAAGTAGGACAGTGGGGCACAGTGGGGCTTCAAGATAGTTCCTTTCAACAAAAAATTGAATGTCCAGAACTCCAAAATATTTTTGTAATGGCTGTGTGTGGGGCACGTCGCACTAAGGGCGCGTTCATGCTTGATTTTGAAGGCAGAATGAGCGATTTGTAACGCTCATCGTAAACGCTCATCGTAATCGCAGTTCCACGGTGCACTGTTCATGCTCACTTCTCCAGGCAATTCTCCTTGGGTGGCCTTCAGGTGCGCATGCTACGTAGACCCACTAGAGGTCAGTGCCTTGACCCCATTTAAACGCGTTTACAAATTGTAAACGCATTTTTTTGTGAGTTTACGATCGGCGAGCGTGATCGCCGTTTTTCGGTGATTCTACAAAAGTGAGCATGAACGCAATCGTGTTTTAAACTAAATGCGTAACAGATGCCTGATTCTGGCCGTCAAAATCAAGCATGAACGCGCCCTCATCAATACATAAGATATGCTAGAAATCAGAACATGGATGTTATTCCAGAAGCTGACCTGATAATAACCTCTGAGTGACTGACAGAGAGCATACACATAAAAAACCTTTCACTCTCTCTCTCTCTCTCTCTCTCTCTCTCTCTCTCTCTCTCTCTCTCTCTCATCTCTTTCCATTCATATAGCTTCATCTCTTCAGCACACACTAAATGGTCCACACCGACTTCTAAACCATTGTATTAAAAAGCTTCCTGCACTGTTCTCCCAGGCAATCTTAAAGGGACGGATTTGCTTCCATCCACCTGTTTTTAAAAATGTCAATCTCGCTCTGTCTGACAGAAAATATGTTACCATTCTCTTTCTCTATCTCAGTTCTTTCTCCTCTGCACACACTAGAGCGTCCACATTAACATTGATAACTGTATGTATGTAACTGTAAGCTATAATATATAACATTTATAAAAATTGTTTTATGAAAATAAGAAATATATTTGAGACTTACCTCCTCCAACTTGTATCACTTGGTGGAGACAGGTAGGGAGCACTGTATGGCGCTGCTTCGTGTGAGAGGGTTAAGGAATATACACCAACAATACATAAACAATACTCTACATGGATCAAAATACGACAGAACTTTTGAATAAATAAAGTGTTAGATCTGCCCCAGCATCCTCCTAACAGCATGTGGGATTACAATGATGTACGATACATAGATTATATAATATGACCCAAAACACAGTACCAGTGCATAGAATATTCAACATACTGCATATACATGTGTCAGTAATTAGCCGACAAAGATAATTAGACCACAGATTGGTCAGATAAGAGCAAGTAAAGTCAAATCAGGAACTTTCGTGAGTTATAAAAATTTGTTGTTATGGTCGCATGAAACTTTTGTAAACTGCTAAATTCTGAGCAGCAATTACTAATAAATCTATTTTATATCATGACATATTCTCATTTCATTATAGTACAAAAAAATGAAGTAGGTATGATAATCTTGACAATATTGAGATCATTATAAATACCGGTAAACATTATTAAGCATTGCAATGTATTATGTACACACATATTTTTAAAGAAAGCAATATTTGTCATTAATGAGGATAACAATTGATGCGCAAAACTAATGTTTCCTTCCTCATCAAATGGCACAAAATGAGGAGGAATACATTAATGTCCGAGGCACAGACGCTTCTAATTAGGGCATCAATCATTAGCTTTACCCAATCAGTTTCATCAAACATATATCCACTATCTTCGCAAATAATTAAAGTATGACAACAAAATTCTTTTTTACAAAGAGGGTTAAAAGACCTTTCCTGGTAAAGCACTAAAACGAAGGGCTTAAAATCTGCCTTGCAATATGCATGATTTGCTAGCCATTATTATCAGTACGTGTCAATTTCATGCATTTTTCAGAGGAAGAAACTCAGGGGAAAAAGACGGCTTTCTCAACACATCCTGCAGCCACAGCTACTCTAGTCTCAGCTACTCTAGTCTCAGATCAGGCGCTCACAAATGCAAATTTGTCATATTTTCAAACAGCTTGTAACCAATTCAAATTTTGTAAGAATGGTTCCTAGTATTACATTTGAATGTTTTTGAATCCCAGAGTATGTTCTTTTTTGGTGATAAGGAACCAAACAAGAATTCCGCTTTCCCAATTTCACTTTTGCTAAGTGATACAAATGGACTTGTATCATATTGTATAAGCTTGACAAATATATAATTTTTTGGTGTAATGTTTACATCATGGCGTAAACAAAATAATTACCTTGATAATCACTGATTGGCATGTGCGCGCGCACACTACTTGCGTATAACATGTCTGCGGGTAGTAGTTCAGTTCAGTTCAGTTTATTAATTTTTCTCAAGCATAAAAACAATATTATAATATATACAAAAATGGCAAATATATGTTATGTATGTATTTAAACTTTGTCCAATTTCCTCTGTATTTATAATCTCTAATTTATACAGGGCTTCTCAGGAAAAAAGTTTTGATTCTGAGAGAGTTTCCCTGTTTCAAGAGGAGGTACATGATGTAGTATAATGGAAGAGGCTGTGGTGATGGTGGAATCAAGTTGTAGTTGCCTTTGTTACATTTTGTTACAGCAATCATATAATACACTGTAGTTTGGTGAAAATCTGTTTCTATTGGAGCACATAAGTGGTCTGAGATCATATCGATCATATCAATCTTCAATTAGAGTTAAAAGCTGTCAGAGAACGAAATAGGTCAGGGAATATCTGGCAAGCCAGATAAATCCACCTTAGCCTTTGAGTAGAGAATATATTGTTCTCCTCTGGGAGTTTCACAGCTTGCAACAAACTTGTATGATATAGAACAAGTAATGTATGAATACCTCAGTGGCTGCCAAGCTCACGATCAATTGGGCAAAGAGAATTTCCATTTCCGGTTTAACTTAATAATAGTTACTTAATAATGGTTCTTGGAAGAAACATTGAATTTGATAAATACAATGTACATACATGTGCATTTATTAACTAGTCTATCAAAATATATCTATCAGAGAAAAATTCTGCTGATTTAAATACATTTATGTAAAAAAAGAGGAAAATATAAAAATTCCCTAAAGATAATCATACTTGTCAATCAAACAGATCACCAAGTATATCTATCTTGCGTGTGAATAATATAGACTCAATTTTTTATAATTGAGATAAAGGTAATCAAATGATTCCCTATCTTCCTCTCTCTTTCCAATCTTGTATCAAAATCTTACAAGGGTGATGACTAGAAGACTATCTTTTGGATTTGGCTGTGTCCAAACTCGTTCATCTCCTGTGCTCTACGGCGGTCATGCATGGATGAAAATTTAATGCCATGAATATTGCAGGTCCCCATGAGCCACATAGCAAATCGGCCACAAGATTCTCTGCTGTCTTACAGATTGAGTACCGCAGAAAGATGGAAAGAGTTTCCAAAGATAGCTGATCGTGAGAGAGCATCCTAATATCACCAAATGTTGTTTCATGTCAAGTGTCGGACGGTAAAAAATAATATTTTGGTGGGGGTAATTTTTAGGATACCGGTAAACTGTGTGTAGTGATCACATTCAATGATGTATAGTTGTATACAATATCATAATCAATGATACAAATTGTTGCATAATCGCTATCTCGTATATGCAGTGGCCCATATTAACATTTTGTGGGCACACTGCCCTCGCTCCCCTTGACTTGGCTATGATGAATGGCAGGGATCTATAATAACTCTTTTTTTTCTTAGGGTCCTGCTGAGCTGAGCAAATCATATCTGCTCATGTCCGGTTTTTAGTTCAACTAGAACAGCAAATGTGGGGAAACTATGCTTTAAACAATTATCTTTCTAAAGGTATGTTTGGCATGGTTTGGTTTGACCCAATAACAGGTTCTTGAACCAATTCAAATCTGCAGAGCTATGAATATATATCTTCTCCAATCTTCTCCTGGGAAAGTTCTTTCATTTATCTATTCCTCGATGACAACTGATACTTCTTGCAATATGGATCAGGGCTTTGCATAGATCAATATACTGACAATTGTAGAGAATATTTCTCAACCAGAGGCCTACTTATATCAGTTCCATCATGTATTTTTCATCAGTATAAGTTTTAAAGCTTTTGTCAGTACTGATATATTGACAGTTGTAGAAAATATTGGATAAGTCTACTTGCAATATTGACAAAATTACTTTTCACATTTTTTGCCATATTAGGATTTGCCGAAACTGACATATTAACAGTTGTACAAATGTTTCACAATTAAAGGCATACTTATATTAACATAAAGAAGGTTTCAGTATTTTTCTCTCTTTAGAATAGGTATTTGGCATACAGTTTTAGAAATGTAGAATAATTGTTCAACTGTAGACTAATCAAAGCTCAAGTCGTTTCATTTTTCAGTGATAATTTTTTTTTCCCTAGGCAAATTACTGCATTATGTATGAACAAGTCTACATGGCGTCGGTGCATCAGTACAGAGGATAATCCTCAGGCAAGCTTAGGGTTGCTATTAGCAACTACTTTCCAAGATATCTACAGTCATGTACAGTGTCATTTCCATTACTGCTCAGAGGGCAGAGAATTATAATGTTTCTGGGACAATAATTGCAATTATGTTTAGTATTGATTCACCTTTGTTCTGTAAAGGTACTATTTGACACTGTAAATAAAAATGCAAGTGTTTATAAAATCAAGCTCAAAATTATGATGAATTGCTTGCTTGTTTCATTGTTTTCTCAGTGTATTTATCATTCTTAAAACACATTAACAAAAAAAAATAGCTGAAATAAAAAATATGAAAAAATATATTTCTCTTGTTTTTCTTCATATTTTACTATGGATTTATGTATATCCTGCCAAATACAAAATGTGTCTTCAAAAGAATTTTCATTATAAACACCTTCCCACTTATCTGCCGAAGGGTGGAAAAAGTGTTTCATGTCTAAACAAGACTGTACACATAAGATTTGTATGCGGAACAGGACCCCATCCCAGTGTTCAAGGGGAAGTCCACCCTGATATTAAGTTGGTTTCAATAGAAGCAGAAAAATGAGAGAAACGGGTCAGTGAAAGATTGAGCGAAACCGATTAAAAATAGGATGGCCACAGGCTTGTTCACATGGCCATTGTGATCACGTGACCCACTCTCGGAGATCAATATGCAGCTGAAGTTCTCGTTTTCACCAAAACATAGATTTACCCCAAATGCAATTGTAGGATATAGCGGACGACGAATGAGACTGCCAGCACACACATAATCAAATAGGGATCCCCTTCTATCTTGGAATAAACGAACAATATTTCATACGAAGATTGCACATGTAAGATGCAGATGTCATTATGATCACAATGTTTTGCATACAGCGGCCATTATAACTCCAAATCTTTATCACCGTTATCATACTGGTTTATGAAATGAGGCATCCAATTGCCACCTTCACACATCCATCCATCTCTCATGCTTGTAAGAGTACTGGAGCTGTGAAGCAGCCGGCGTTGAGATAATTAAGCCATTACAGGGCCAGCCGGCCGGCCGATGCCATAGAGAGAACAGAGGATTTCATATTGATATGGTGAATGGTATACACACACTGTCTGGCACTGGATCATTAGAGGCAAAGCAAAACCTGATAAGGGTGATTTCACATGATGGGAAAAATCCAATGTAGAATGGTAGAGTAAAACATGAGAGGAACGTAAAGTGAAAGGGGTGTACATGAGATATGAATACAAGTGTACCTGCATCTGTATTTGTGTAAACACGAAGGATTTGAACATTAGAGGCAAAGTGAAACCCAATCAGATTGTTTTCACACAATGGACAAAAATCAAACTCAGAAATGTAAAGAAAAACATAAGATGACTGTAAAGTTTTTGTTCAAAACAATGCTCAAACAGGTGTTTGCTTGAAGTATATAACATATCATTATAAGATTTCTTTATACAACGTTCAGTGTAGGAACAAAATGAATAATTTATTGTTACCATTGATTTTCACTAAGCTATACAATGAATAGTGTTAGTCTGAACACAAGGGCAGTCTGAATA